CCCTGGGGGTGTCATTCCTGGTTGTTCACACGGGTGGCAGAGCTCGGACTTTGGTGTCACACAGCAAAGGGAAGGCGGTCTGTCCTTTGTTTTCCAGTGGTTTCATCTTCGAATAAAATTCCTCTTGTCCAGTCCCGTTGGGCGCACTGGTGAGGACGTTCAGGCCACACACAGGGTCACTCGGAACGTGGACACGTAGCGAGGGGCCACGCAGGAACGACAGCTCACTGCGCGCGGCGCCCAGGCCGTGCAGGAGTGTTCGGCCCTCGGTCCCCGTGACTGCCGCGTGGCCGGTGTCCTCGTAGACGAAGAAAGGGTCCCTGGCAGCGTCTGCCCCTCAGCCTGCGCGGGAGCCCACGGGCCGGGCGCTGGTGACCGAGACCCGCCCTGCAGTCCGGGGCCTCCCCTGGGTCCAGACGGCCGACGCCCGCATGCACACGTGGAGGGAGAGTTCTCTCTGCCCCTCCTGGGAGGACGCCAGCCCTACAGGTCAGACCCACCCGATGACGTTTTAACGTCGGTGACCCCCGAACGCCCCGTGTGCAAATACTCTCACACCGGGGTGAGGGCAGAGTGACCTGACCACGCTGTGCTTGTCGACCCTGAGGGTCGCGCTCCTGGCGGTGGCCACGGACCTGCCCCGCACCCCTCCCCACCGAGAGACGGCAGGGCCGCGCCCGCGTCTGCGCAGGATGCGGTCTCGTTTCCCCACTTGCGGAAAATGGGCGTCCTGCGTGGCTGGTCTATAGAGCAGGTGTCCTTCCTCCAAGATCCGCACGATTGCCGTCCAGACACCAGCAGTCACGACGTGCTCTCGCCACGCAGCCGCTGCCGATGCCGGGGGGCCGGCAGCTGTGGGGCTTTAGTTTTCGAACGTGTTTTCTTGCGTTTTCCGGTTTTCTCTGTATCAGAGAGGCCACAGGTCCCAGGGCCTGGGCGAGGGGAGAGGCGTCCTCCACGTCTCCCCTCTGCCGGTGGCCAGGCTGCGCCGTCCCGAAACGTCCCAGCGCGTCCCGTCAGTGGCCCCTGTCTCTCCGGACCTGCCCGGACCAGGGACCAGGGTGGAGCCGGAGGAAGCAGGGCCACTGCGGAGGGCCGGATGTGGGCAGGAACGTGAGGCGGGAGCGGCTGGTGCAGCCTCCTCCTTCCCTCCATGGTGCTGGGCTGGTTGCTGGGAAACCGTCCCCACTCCAGACTTGTGCCTGGACCTGGGAGACCGAGCTGGGGGACGGAGGGGGCCGTGCCCCACCCTGAAGGGCATTGGCCGGGAGCAGGGGGGCCGCACACACTGCCCTGGAGGTGCCTGCTGCGCGGCGCTGGCCCAGGACAGCGTCTGGCTCGGGGCCGACAGACCCAGACGCATCCAGAGACTTCACTGAAAAGGCACATCTGCACCGGGGCAGGCAGCGTGGAGATCGTCACGGTTTAGTGCCCCGGGTTTGTCCCTAAGAGAGGTCTGTGGCATGGCCTCCGTGGGCCTCGCGGTGGGAGGGTGAGAGGCGGGACGCCGTGCGGACGTCCCACGCGGCCTCTGCTTGTCCCAGGGACAGCGGCTGCCTGAGCCCCGGGCCTGCCCCACACCCTAAGGCAAGGAGACATGGTTCAGGCGGCCCCAGGACGCCGGCGTTCCCAGTGGAAAGTGTGTCACGCGCCCTGTGCCACCGCCATCCCTACACCGAGACGTTCCCAGGAAGAATCTGAGGGCCGGAGAGATGCAGGAGTTAGCGTCGGTGCCCCGGCGGCTTTAAACAGGTCGTAAACAGCAGGCACTCTTGCTGCAGCAGCGGGCGCCACCTGGCCCCCTCCCTGACGTCCCTGTGGAGTCACCAGGCCTGGCCCCGCCATGCTCACGGCGTGTCATCTCCATGTGGCGATGAATTACGGCCGCCGTGTTAGCTGGACAGCTGTGTTTGGGCCGCACCTCCAGCACCGGGCCGAGTGGTCGGGCAAGAGTTTTTAAAGAGCTCAGGAGACGCTTTATGGGAGAGACAGGCCGGCCCCTGCGCCTGGCCACGTTTCTGGGCCTGGCGGAAAATCCGGCGCGGTGCAGAGAGGATCCCAGCGGGGTTTTAACACGGCATCCCAGCCACATGCTTTGCAAGACCGTAAACTCTGGAAATTGCCGTCCGATCTGGAATTTCTCCCTAGCTGCTGCGGACACCAGCTTTCGGCACCAGCGTCTCTCGGCGAGACTCCGGACCCCCCGGGCCGTGCTCATGTGTCTGGTCCGTTTCCGGGACAGCCACGTCCCGTCGAGGCGAGGGTCTGGGTCACGATTCGCGCCGGCTTCCCTGCAGTCAGGTCTGGCTCTGCCTGGCGCCTGCGGCTCTGCATTTACAGCCCGCTGAAAAACGGACTCCGTCTGGTGGGGGGCACAGGTCCTCCGCAGTCGTCCGGGTGGGGCTTGGGGGAGCGGGCGAGACCCCAGGGTCTCCACACACTGGGCCCTCCTGGCCCTCCGCCTGCCACAGATGCCGCGGGGAGGGAGAGCTGTCGGAGCCAACAGCTGACTTGGGTGTTGGGCCTTGGGCTGCGAAGCTGTGGGTCGCAGAGCTGTTTCTAATAAACGGAGAATGCATCTCTCCTTGGCGGCCCCCCGGGCACCCTGGGAGCCGCGCAGGCAGCCAGTGCCCCGCCGGTCCCATGTGTGTGCATCCCTGGGCCACGGAGCAGCCGCCAGATCCGAGCGGACGGCCGGAGACTCATAGCAGACGGGCTGCAGCGGGAGGCGTGAGGCAGAGGCTGTGGCTGCGCGTGGCGTCCTCACCACAGGGACCGCTCTGGGCTGGGGGAGAAGGTGCAACGTCTGGAATGTGAGATGGACGGATGTCCCTGGTGGGTGCACGGTGGCCTCAGGGCTGAGTGAGCCCCCAGCTGTCTCCAGTTGTGGGCAGGAGCGAGGGCCGCCGCCCCACGCCAGGTGGCCACGGTGGCCCCCCCACTTCGCTGGCTGGGGCGGTCCCCAGGGGAGTGTGAGTCACGTGGGGCTCTTCCTGACGCCACGGCACCCTCGCCAGCCGCCGTCGCTGCCCTGCAGCTCCACCCGGAGACACCATCAGTGCTGGCTCCAGATGGCACCTGCCTGGCGTCACCGTGTCGTGGCCGAATCGTTACATCTCCCCGGGTGGCCAGTGGTCCGTGGTGTCTCGTGGGCAGTGTTTTGGGGTACGATTCCTGAGTGACTCGGTTCCGCCTTCCAGAGCCCTGGCGGGCACGAGAGGCAAGTCCATCTTGGCGGGTGCTACGCTGTCCAATCCGGGACGGCAGCAGTGCGCTGGTGGTCAACACGCCGACAACAGAGACCGGCCGCGTATCCGCACTTCCCTCGTGCTCTGTGGCCTCCAGCCGGTGCTCACCAGGCTGTGGCCGGACCTGTCCTTGCCAAGGGGACAGGCTGCCCCGAGGGGAGAACACAACGCCGGGAGGGACTCGTGGCCATGGCTGAGCACGGCCCAGCGCGGCCACGCCTGGGTGGGGAGAAGGAGCTTCCCGAGACGTGCTCACGGCGGCCCCGCGACTTTCCCACCCCCCCCCATGGCAGCCGCCGGTGACCCGACGCTCAGCGTGCAGGGAGGACGCGCCACAGACGCGAATGCGTGAATGAAAACGGGCCGGAGACACCAGTGTGGAAACAGCAGAGCGATTCCTGGGGAGCCCCGGTCGCGTCTCTGCAGGGAGACTCCGGGCAGATTTTCCGACCAGGACGGCCCCGTCGGTCCAGTCCCCAGCGCCGGTCCGGTCCCCAGCGCCAGTCCGGTCCCCAGTGCCGGTCCGGTCCCCAGCGACACCGCGTCTCGGGATGAGGAGCCTTCGCCGGCGCGCAGATGACCTGTCCCAGCTCTCACAGCCTCCGGGCCAGGGTGGCCATGGCGCAGGCCCTCCCCGGGGTCGAGCTTCGGGAAAATCCATGTCAGCGTCACAGCTGTTGGACGCGTAGGCACTGCGGGCCGTGACGGGGACCAGGCACACAGACCGGGTTTGTCCTGGAGCCCCACGCAGGCCCGGGGCTGTGATGGCGGCACTTTCTCCCGTGGCTGCCAGAACCCACCGCACGCAGCGCACGGAGAGGCGCAGATGTGATCGGGGGCGTCTGATGACAGCTCGTTATCCGCAAGGCTGTGCGTCTGTTGTGAATTTAAGAGCAATAGCGCGTTGCTTTCCGCGTCACTTAACCATCTAGACGTCTCTTCTCGGCGGCGCACGAGCCAAGACGCCAGCCCAGCAGTGAGCGGGACGGGGTCTCTGTGGGGTCCCCACAGGGTCCCCCGCCCTGGCAGGCACTGCTACCGGTTTCTTCCTGACACTGCTGTGGAAACTGAGGCCCAGAGGCAGGCGGGGTCTGGCGGAGAGTGAGGAGGGGCCAGTGCCAGCCGCGGAGGCAGCGTCCGTCCGCCCCGGCCCCCCCCGTGCCCTCAGCTTTCTCTCCAGGGACGAGTGGGAGAAAGGTCTAGAGACAGTGGACAGCTCCCGAGTTCCGCCCGTGCGGGAGGGAGGCAGAGGGGCGGGCGTGGTGGCCCACGCAGGCCCACTGTGCTGCCGCGATGACTAACGGCTTCTCTTCCGCAGCGACAGCCGTGCATGTTCTCAGCTGGGCTTTTATTGGCTTCCAGAGCCGTTTCTTGTGTTCACGTTCACCAAACGCGCAGACGTTATTAGCAGAGCGTCGGTAGCAGAAACGCAGTAGTTCGCCCAAGCTACGATTTTCGCTCTGAATTACCGCAAATCTGCAGGCCCCGGGTCCAAACTTCCCCTGCAGTTGCGAACGGGTTTTTGCAGCATGTCGGTGCCGGGCAGGGGCCAAGGCAAACAGGCTCTGCATATTGGAACCAGCTGCTGCTTTCCGGCGCCCGTGACTCACCCTGTTCTCTCGTTGGGCGGGAGGACCAGGCGCACGGGGCTCAGTCGAGACGCTGTTTGTCTTGCAACAGGCGTCCCAGACACAGGCCGGCCGGTCGACCATCTGCAACTGTGTTTATTTAACTTTTTCTCTCTCCACGCAGTTCCCGTTATAAAAACAGAGCCGTCTGACGATTACGAGCCCGCCTCAGCCTGCGGACCGGCGAGCCAGGGGTTAAGTCCCGTCCCGCGACCGTACTACAGCCAGCAGCTCGCGGCACCGCCCGACCCCGGCTCCTGCCTCGTGGCCGGGTTCCCGCTCTGCCCACAGAGGAGCACCGTGATGCCCACGCCGCGCAGCGCCAGCCCGAAGCTCCACGACCTTTCTGCCGCAGCCTACACCAAGGGCATCGCCAGCCCAGCTCACTGTCACCTGGGACTGGCGCAGCCGGCCGGAGAGGTCGCCGCCGTCCAGGACGTGCCGAGACCTGTGGCCGTGCACCCCGGCTCGCCCGAGCAGCCGCCCCCCGCCACGCTGCAGCCGCAGGTGAGTCCGCATCTGAGCAGCAGCTGCCCCCTGGGTCAGCGGCTCACGCTCTGTCCCTACAGCCCCCCCTCCCCGCCTCCGCCCGCCGCCCAAGAGCCAACCTGCTTGCAGCCCTGCAGCCCGGCGCACCTGCCCACGATGGGCCGCCCGCAGCACCTGCCGCCGAAGGCTCAAAGGAACCTGTCTCCAACCGCCCGGCCACGGTCCCTGCCAGAGGTGCGTGAGGACAGTGGCCGTAATTTGGCCCTTATTCCTGTAACGGTCAAGCGGGAACCCGAGGAGTTGGACCAGTTGTACCTGGACGATGGTAAGTGCCCGCCGCCCGGAGCTCTCGGAGGAGAGGCGTGCGGATGCGCCGACCGCGGGAGCCGGCGTGACATGGGTGCAGGACACGGTTCTCGGGGCATTGCGGCGGCACCGTGTGGGGCGGTAGTGTCGCCACTTGCGTGCAGCTCTGGTCACGGCAGGGGCTGGTCGCTTGGCTTTGACTTTCCGTGAAACTTGTCCGGGTGGTCTTGGGCTCAAACAAGGGTGCCCAGGTTTGCCGACTGACGCTGGACAGAGAGCCCCTTGGCGCGAGTTCAGAAAGTCCCGTGTCCTCGAGCACCAGCCCGGCCAGGTCCTTGGCTCACGGCACGTAAGAGTTTCTTGAGTCTGGGGAAGAGATTTCGGGTGATGCTGAGCTGACAGTGGTTGGCTGTGCTCTGTGCAGCTACACGAGTGTGTCCGTGCCGTGGCAGCCCCGCCGGGAGCCCGTGGGCAGAGCGCGAGGAGGGCTGTCGGGTGCGACGCCAGCCCAGGTGCGGCGGCCTTCTCAGCGCAGAGGCCCACGGACGTGCTTGTTCAGGGCTGTTGGAAAGGGAGGCCCTTGGACGTCTGTGGCCAGGCCGCTTAGACCAGGCGACTCCCAGAGCTGCCGCCGTCCTGTGCGTGGTAACAGGACACCGTCTGTGTGTGTCTGCGTTTGAATCGCATTCACTCCCGACGCGGTCCGGGCCACCCGGTCACAGGCTGCCGGGGTGCTCAGACACGTGACCAAGCCTGGCGCCCTCATCAGGCGGCGATTCGGTGAGCGTCCCCGCCCTGCGCGGGCTGTTTGCGTGGGAGGTGGGCGTCGTTGGGCACAGACCGTTTTCCCCGACGCCTCCCCCCACCCGGACTCTGTGCCTCCCTTCGAGTGACAGCTTCGTGCCGCTGGCTTTGCTGCCACCGCGGCGCTCTCCGCGAATGTTGAGTTTCCTCGCGTTCCCAGCGGCCCTTTAGCTTCGGGGGGTCCTTTGGGAAGAGCGTCCAGAGGTGGCTGCCACACGTGGTCCACGCCCAGTCCCCGCGTCACTCTCGCTGTGGCTTGGCCGCCTGGGGAGGCCTGTGAGCCTGCGGATGGCGCCGCTTCCAGGTCGGGGCCTCCTGTCCGCTCAGGAGGGGACGGGGCCGGCCAGACACGTCCCTACTGTTTCCCAACGCAAGGCCGCAGGTTTTTGAGAACAATGTGTGCAAATGATTTAGCCCCAAAAGTATCCAGCCTCAAGCCCAGTGCCCTGGTCTGTGGCAAGAGCTCGGTCCCGGGGTCGGGCTTTGTAAGCTGGGCCTCGCAGCCTGCTGCGCCAGGGGCTGACGGTCATCACGGTGCTGAGACGCAGGCCGGGCGCCCGTCCGAGCGGCACGAGGGTGAGAGGGTCCTGGGCCTACCTGCCCGGCGTGTGTGGACGTGGGGGAGACAGATGCGCAGCTCGGGGTCCTCACATGGCTCTGTGTGCCCCCGGGGTGGGCACAGGTCGGCTGGGGCCGGAGCATCTGGCCGGACACCCAGCTCTGCGTCACCCCCAGGGCCCCCCCCCCCAGCCTGCTGGCCGGCCGCCGTGGGGCCCCCAGGCCGAGGCCCTTGCCCAGCCCCTTCACGTAGGCCGCCGGCCCCACGTCCTGGGGGCCCTGCTCTCCAGACCCCTGCCAACAGCCCCCGTGTGCACTCCCGACCACTCACTGTGGCGGGGCTGCTTCCAGGCCGGGCCGTCCTTCCTCCCCAGACCTTCTCCTTGGCTCCTGGCCGTGGTCATCTTCCCGCTCGGAGCTGCAGGGTCGCGTCCCCGTCCCCAAGCCCTGGTGGTTCTGCGCTGCCAGGGAAGAGTCAGCCTCGGTGTCCGGCTGCAGCCTCCCCACCACCTGCCCCCGGGACAGGAAGTGTCGCGTCCACTTACGTCCTCAAGAGACGCCAGGCTGGTCCTGAGGGCCGGCCCTGCGCATGTGAGACTGTCCCGTTTTTGGGGGCACTTGCCACCTTTTTCCCTTTAGTTTTGCCCACGGTTGGCCGGCTTTTACCCAAACCTTTTTCGTTTTGGGCGTTGGGTTCAAGGGGGGCCCCGGGGTGGGGGGACGAGGGCAGCTGCGTGGCGGCCCCGCAGAGCAGGGAGCGTGTTCACAGGCCACCGCGGTCTCGCGCAGCCTGCGCAGGCGGGTCCTGGTGGCACCCAGTTAACCACACACAGTTGAGCCTGGAGCAGTTAGCTGTGGCCCTGTCCAGACGTGGCGCTGATCTGTCCCGAGTGGGTGAAGGGCCCTTCCAGTCCTTCGGAGGCGGGTGGGCAGGCGCGCAGCCACACGTGCGGAGGCCTCGTCTGGGGCTGGGGGTGGGGACAGCGTTGTCTCGCAGGCCAGGCCTCCCTCCAAGGGCTCTGGATGGGGCCGGGGGCTCCCCGCACTGCAGGGTGGACACCTGCCCGGGAGCGGTGGAGAGTGTGGCCAGCTGGCGTCCCTCTTGGGCAGCTGAGCTGCAGATGTGCCCTCTGTCCCCCTCGCGGGCAGAGCCCGCCCGGGTGCTCGCTCTGCCCTCACTCCGGCTGTGGGATGGCTGCGGCCCCCACCCCCACACGCCGTCCTCGCAAGGAGCGGACGCAGCCAGGGCTGTGGAGGGTCCTCGGGGCAGGACACAGGCTGTAGGGTGGGGACCAGGGCAGGACGTCCTGCCTGGAGAAGGTGGAATCCTACCTGGAGGGCGTGTGGGGATCCGTGCCGGCGCCTTCTTGGTGGGGACAGCGGGGTGGGGACGCCAGGCTCACGCAGGAGTAGGCCGTAGCTCAGAGAGTGTTTGCGAAGCTTGGACAGTTCCAGCCGGCCCAGGAGTCCGATCCTTCGCCGGCCCCGTCCCAATGTCCTCCCTGGTTCCAAGACAACATCGCAGCTCCCGCTAACCCCGGAAGGAGGTTCCGGAGGACGCTAGTAACCCGGCGTGTCCAGGACCGGGATCCCATCCGCACAGGCCCAGGGACCCCCTGCGGGGGAAGCAGACGGGGCCACCCTGGGGCTCTGCCTGTCCCTGCACATGGAGAATGTCCCAGAACGTGATCACGGAAGGACCTTTGGGCGGGGCCGCCCTGCCATCCCCACTTCCCTCTGCGGCTTCTCCCACCTTCCCCGCCCCGCTTGCCGCGCGGCTCACCTGTCGTCAGAGCGAAATTCACTGGGGTTTCTCAGCACCGTCCTGACTAGTTTCCCGTCCTCAGGACACCGGGAGCCCGGCAGCCTCTGCCGCGCCCTGGGCTGTGTCCGACGGAGGGAGGAGGCTCGCCCGGCACCCGGCACCCGGCACCCGGCACCCAGGGAAGTGGAAACAGCAGCAAAGACTGAAGCAAAATGAAACCGCACAAATCTCAGGCTCCTTCGTGGGTGGAAAGAGCCGCTCGGTGCTGTGCGTCCACACGGCAGGGAGAGGGGAGGGAGGGCGTGTGGCTCAGGACACCCCTCGATGGTGTTTGAAAGTGGGGGCTCCCGCGCAGTCCTGCGCCCCACGCGCCGCTGGTGACCAGAGCCCCGGGGTCTGTGCCTCCCCCAGGCCCGAGACCGGCGCGGGGCAGGTTCGGTCTCCAGCCTCCTGGGGTCCAGCAGTGAAGGGGACCGCAGGGCCACCTCTAGGGCGCGCAGGGCAGGCTGGGGTCCGCCTGCCCGGGCACGTCACTCCACCGAGACGCCACAGGGCTCGGCCTGGCCCCACCCCGCGGCCCTCAGCACCGCTGGCAGCAGCGTCCACACGGTCGGCTCAGGATCTCGGCTCCTGGGTCTGAACGGCGCGTGGAAGCAGCGAGGCGCAAGCGGGGTTCTCTCGCTGACCGCGGTGCCCGCGACCGCCAGGCCCGGGGGACTCAGAGAATTTATTGTGTGCGCAGGTTTTTCATTTCTTGTAATTGGGTTTCAATTTGTTTTCTGGGGACGTAGAGCGGGAAAGGCAACAGCGGGACGTGGTGTGCGGCTGCGGAGAGCGTGGGGTGCGCCGTCGCCAGTACGCGCCCGCCACGGGTCCGCGGGGTGGTCTGCGTGGAGCAGCCTGTCCCGTGGACCCGCGTCCAGTCTGGCGAATGAGCCGGAAGGGGAGGTGCTTCCCAGATTCCTGTTTCTCTCACAGAACTCAAGCCTCAACGTGAAGAATGAATCCCAGGTTTTCTTCTTTTTCGGATTCCTTTGTTTTTCAGTTATTTCTCTTCCTGAGTCGTGTTTCAGGAGCACTTGGCCCACCCCTGAATTTCCTTCTTTGTTTCAACAATCTTCCTAAGATTTAGCTTTTGGTTTGGACTTTTCCAAGCACGGCAGAAGCACACAGGGACGTTTTAAAAAATACTATTTTTCTGGACCTTATGTTATTTTAAACCTAGATTTTTAAAAACATGCTGTAAAATTGTACGTGAGCTGTTTTTACAGTGTTATTCCTCTATTGCCACTGTGGGGACGGAAGTAGGCGACGTTTCCCGCTGGTTCCAAATCCTCTCGGTCGCATGTGTGGGCAGCTCATGCACACACAGACACATATATGTGCGCACACACGTGCGCACACATGCACACGCATTCATGCACACACGTGTGCATACACACTAGCGCACATACACGTGCACACATGCACACACGCATTCACGCACACGTGCATGCACACACACGCGTGCACACGGTCTCGTTCCGGGCGCCTTGCAGGAGGTGTCTTCTGAAACGTCTGTGCGGCGCGTGGCATCTGCCCTGGTGCTCCCGCGAGCCCATGCCGACCGGCCGCTCTGCTGTCGGGCAGCAGCTCCCGCGAGCCCTGCGGGGAGGCGACAGCCCCGCGGCGCTGGGCTGGCCACGGACACAATCAGGCCTTTCAGTCTCCTCGCGAGCTGCTGGTTTCCAGAGCCTAGATGTCATTAAAACAACAAGCAGGTAGACGCGGTGGCCCCGAGCGTGTCTGCCCCGAGTCTGGGGGTGAGCGGCTCCCTCTCCCGCCCCTTCCTGAGCTCAGACTGCTCCGGAGAGAACAAAAACCTTCCCTCATGGAAAGTTTTACTAAGCTGG